GAATTACTGAAATACTGGAACTCGGTAAAATAATAAACCATTTATCTCTGTTTGTATCTCAAATGTATCGCGAAGCATTAATTCGCAAACTTCGTATAGCATTAAATTCTTGCCGGGACACTCTGTATATGGATGTCGGTAAGGATTTATCGCAAAACTGCGACCAAGTAATTGTTCTATTACCGGGGCAGCGACGCCGCCACGATTAATTCCAAAGTAACTAGTGGAAAACCGAGTTCATTGCTCCCGGCAGATAAACTCTTCCGTCCCCATCGTTTCAGCCGGCGGATTTTCCGCGGAAAGCGGGGAGCAAAGATTTTCGACACGGGTCGAAATAACGCGAAATTTTCCAGCCGGCCAGGGCAACGCCCCGACTTTCGTATATTCGAGGATTTATCGGGCACCCTGTGCGAGTCCCGGCCGCGTCCCGGGATCCCCGAGCTCGCGGCACTTCGCCGAAGATTTGCAATTCAATCGAAGGCCGAACCTCGGAAACGCTCGTCGCCAATGTGAAATTACACCGGCGTATACTTCACCGATTAAATGTTAATTCACGACCGGCGACTTTTGCCCCCTGGCCCGCCGCCGCCGCCGTCGCGCCAGTCCCCTCTGCCTTTTTATCGGGCTTTTCCCGCCCTCTGTAAGATCGTTCGCGCGCTCGTCCCTGTGTGAAAGTGTGCGGCTCTCTCTCTCTCTCTCTCTCTCTCTCTCTCTCTATTACTTTCTGTGTCTGTGTGTGTTTGCGTGGCTCTGTGTGCGCACGTGTATCGACGGGCGGAGGTTATTTACGCGAGAAAAATGATTTCGAGCCGCGCGATACCAGATCCGCTTATTCAAACGAGAAACGACGAATTCCATTCTCTGCCCTTTGAGCCTCGTAAAAAATTCGCGGACCCCGCGTTTTATTGCGAGGCCGCTGCTCGCAATATTTATATGGACGCTTTGTTTGCTCCGTCAGGAATTCGATATCGACCACGGCCTTCTACGCTTCTCGCGATTCCACGGACGCTGCGCTGCGGACTACGTTCTTTTTCCTTCTCACCGCCTCTCTCATTCATTTTCTCTCTCTCTCTCTCTCTCACTCTCTTTCTCTCGCGATAAGAAACGTTGTCGTGCGAGACAACGGTGTCCTACAGCCTGCGCCAAGACACATGGACGCAACTTCTGGGTCAAATCAATATCCCCAGGTGACTAAATTCGTCTTCCATTCGACCTATTGGAAATTGGGCTATTAACCCCCGCAAGCCGATGGCTGCATCAATTTTGATCCAGAGTATTTAAATCGCTCGCTTAATTATTCAATCCTCGGTAATTAAATAGAATAAATTGCTGTTACGTTCGGAGCAATAGAAAGGCTAATTAAGTAGACTGTGGATTTTTATGCAAAATGAAAGTTGTGTGCACTAGTTATGAGGTGCAGTAGCCGAAGAGATATTTATTTTCTTTGATAAGAATTTTAACTGGTTGAAAATAGTGCATAAAGCTGCAGGAAATGTTGAATGAGGGAGATGTAAGGTACGTTTGTGTTATGCCACGGATGTGTGTCTGTGTGTCGCCCTCTAGTGTGAGACAGAATAGCGGAGAGGAAAGCGTGACTGAGCGTGAGAGGTTATGGTAGCATTTACAGCGGTATTCACGTGCGTTAGACAAGTGTTCCATATACATATGTACAGTTGGCCACAAAAGTGTTCGTACACCTTTTTTTAAAACGTAATAATTTTTTCAAAACTGTACCAAATGATTTGAATTTTGTTTAGATGATAGAGGGACTAGTATACTAGACAATGACTAAAATGTTTTTTTTAAATTTTGCTATTATTTGGAATGACAAAAAAATATAGAAAACTCTCGTTCTTGAACTTTTTTATCTTAGCCTATAACGAAAATTTAAAAAATGTCTTTCGTAGATCTCGGTAATATACATATATGCATGTTGAAAATCTTTGTTCGTTACATTATCAATATAGAGAATTGTTTATGCAAGAAGAAATATCTTCAAAATTATGTTCGGAAAAATTGCTGAATAAAGCTCAGAATTGTTACAAACATTGTCAGTAGTAGTACAGTTCTGAAAATGGTCAGTCGTCCGGAGATTAAATAAAACACTTTTGAATATTTTTCAATATAACCGCAGTAAAAATTTGAATGAGGTGCAGAAATAGACGTGCAGGAATCACAATTGAAACTAATTGTGGTATTCAAATTTTGATTCGTTTTGTCTGGAGTGCTCAGAATATCAGATTGTGCTAGCCACTGAAAATATTTAAATATGCAAAGAGAAGACAAAATAAAATGAAAATAGTCAGTGATCCAGTTAGCCATTACATTAAATTATGTAATAATTTCGAAAAATAGACGCTATATAAAATTGTCTGCATGACAATGTGGTTTTCAAATTTGCTGTACTAAAGAATTTAAAGAAGAAATACAGAAGATAATTTGTGTACATTTATTATATAATAATATATATATATATAATATGCATAATATATAATTTACATAATAATTAAAAATATAATAAGTCATGAATATTATTTATATTGGATATAATGAATATAATTAATATTGAATTTGTTAGACTTCTCGTCACTTTTATTATAATATGATGAATGATGGAATTAAAATATTCCCTATGATCATTTCCCATGTGTCTATATGTACAATTTCGACAAGTTTGTTAAAAAGATAATAGAGATCTGTTAAGCAAACAATGCAGAAAATTTCCATTTCGCGCAAAGATCCGCGGTCTACTCGTAAAAGCGAGAAGATCGAATTTAATCAGATTTTGTAGTTTTATCATTGTAGTACATTCTCTAATATAACGTATTTTATCTAATCAGCTCCCATGGAAGCGTCTTTAAAATTTTCATAATCGTAGAACGGGAAACCGGTCATTTGGCCGTGGTAGATTCAGCGTTAAATACGTCCGAGTTTTTGCCAGGTACATAATCCGAAAGAATGCTCGGAGCGGAAAGGTGTTAAAACAGAGAATGTAAAACCGGTCAACGGTTTAGCGTTAATTCCGTTTATTTCAATAAAGGAGGAAATAACGCGTTGTACGCTTATTTTGCCAGAAGAATATCGAGGAGGTAAAATGAACGTAGAATGGAATATCGATGATTATCAGACAATGCGAAGCTACCGGCGGAGCTCCGGGGGCGGTAATTACCGGGAAAAGAGCCGAGTGTACACAGCGGATTCGTTAGAAAAGTAAAGATCGCGCGAGGAAAGCCGGCTAGAGGCGGGGCGGCATAAAAATGTAAAAAAGTAGAAATTGCCGGAGTAATCCTTGCGTTATGGCGCAGCCTGTATCGGGGCAGCCGTAAGGAGCAGGTTAGCCCGGGTTTGCCGAGCCGGACAGTCTAATCTTCATAAAGTGGAGGAGAATCGCGGAGAAGCAGGGTCGGCCGTGGTACCAGACACGAAAACGAAAACCGGTATTCTTTCTAACGATCTCTCGCTCGGTTTCCGGCGTGCCAGATTTATTGCGCGACGTCGCGTCGCGTCGGGTCGCGTCGGGTCGCGCGAGCGCCGCAATAAAAACGCCGGGGCCGGCATTAAAAGCCGGGCGTCCGTCCCTTCGACGTTCATTTAAAATTCGTCGGGGCCCGGTTCAGCCTGGAAAACTGAAGCGTACAGGCAGCGTTAATTATACGGGAGGCGCGCTAATACGCGCGGCTTTCTCTCTGCTCTGCGCACCGAACGATAAATATTTCCCGGCGTTCTCGACGACGCTCCGTCAACACCGATTAACCGTAATTAGGCGACAATGGCCGACTACGACGACAATGATCTACACGGCCGGGATCCGATCTAGATCTTCGCACATTTTAGGCTCTATCCGCTATCGGCTCGTTAAGTCGTTCCCGACTTGTTCGATCGAAATTAAGCAAATAATGCTTGGCGAAATTTTCATCAAGAAATTTCTTACGTAGAAAAATTCTCTTCTCCCATTTCGTACTCTTTAGCATTTTTGAGGATGAGCGTGAACAGAATGACGATGCCAGAAACGTATATATTATTGCAGAAGTTGCAAACGTACTCGGTGAGTTACTAAGAACTGTACCGATTGAAAAACCGTTTTGGTGAACTATGTAGTAACTGACGCATCGAACGAGCACATTTTCTATCTTTTTATGTCGCATTTTTGCGGTGATACGAAGGTGACTTGAGCAAACCTGGGCAACATTTCAAATGACGGTATTTGAAACGTTATCTCAAATGGCATTATTTGAAATATTATTTCAAATGTCATTATTTGAAATATTATTCGAATGACAGCATTTGAAATTTTATTTCATATTTATATTATTTGAAATATTTTTCCAAATGATATTATTTGAAATATTATTTTAAATGTTAGTACTTGAAGTATTATTTCAAACGGTATATTACTTTATTTCGTAAGTATATTTCCACGTCTGTGATCACTTTCCAAATAACGTTTTTTTGAAATACTATCTCAACATTGTATCGAAAAAACAGTGAAGCAAACGATGCCATTAGTCGAGGTTTCTACGGTTTCAAATGAGTCGATAGTATTTTTACTTTCAAATAACAGCATTAAAAATAACCGGTTCGAAATAAAGTATTTCAAACGGTTATTTCTTATTTCTCATTTCAAATAAAATTCGCTACATAACGAACGATACGTATTTTTTATTTCCATCATAATTTAAGCCTACGACGAACAATCTAATTCACTGAAGAAAATATGTTCTCAGTACTTCGGAGAATCGTACTCGGTGTATTATTAACAAATCTAATTGTTTCTCCTTTCTGATGGAACACCTTTTACTAACAATAATTTTAGAATACCACTAACAGTCGTAGTTGATGCAGACGTGTTTAGAAAATTTGTGGTAGCCATAAACGCACAAAGAAGCGTGGTTTAGCTATCGAAACGGGCGTGCAAGGGTTGGTTAGGTCGCTCGTTAGCCGTCTAGTGGCTAGAGTAATAGCAACCGCCGCGAGGGGCAAGAATAATCGGTCGAACTCACCCCCGGTGACGCGGCAGGTCAGGGACGGTGTGTCGTTTTCCTCGTAAGGTCCAGCCGTCCCGTTCACTATCCTCCCCCATTGATCTAGAATGGTCGGCTGTTCCGGCGGTACTGCAACAGAGAAGAAAATCCTTGTCAGAACTGGCAAAGCCGTGGCATCGGTGCTATACAAGGGTCTAACTCGATCGAACATCGCCCGAAGTATCTGGCTCCCGTGTCGACCCGGTCTACGGATCGGATTCTGTTCGGTAAGTACTCGATCGAATCCAAGTCGATTTCAATATTCCCCGATGCGATACCAGAAAAAGACACGAGAACTGTGTACACACACAGCGTCGTCAATTTCTGCCTTGTCAATCGTCCTATCGAGTATTCTCCTGGCACATTACGCTGCTTTTTCGATGTTTTAATGGAGCAGTCAACGTCGAATTCAACGAGTTTGACACACTATGTGTGGTTGAGGTATTAACACCATTTAAAACAATTTATTTTTTTTTAAATTTCGTCATATATTTTAAAGAATTCCTCTGAGAAATTCTAAAAATCCTCGTTATATACATGTTATGTTGATATTATGAATCAATTTTTTTAATGTTACCCACAACTTCGCGATTGGATTCAAGTCGGGACTGCTCGCAGGCAACCTCAATGTTTTAATAAAATTTTGCTCTAAATAGAGCATTACTAATTTTTTGCGGTGATAGCTGACGTCGCCGTCTTGGAAAATGAAATCTGAACAATGTCGTTGGTATCACAAGAGATACTCCAAATATGAGAATTTCTGCGATTTAAATGGGAAGCTGAAATTTTATAGAAAATCTCGAGTTGCAACAACTAATGTTTAAAGAATACATACATGATTGTAATTAAAAAAGTGAAGATGATCTAGAAATCTCCGGAAGTTCTCCAGCTGCGAAAAAATCATTACGTTCGTATTATACATTACTCTGAACTGAAAAACTTCTGTTCACAAAGTTTCTCGATACCACCAAAAATAACAGAGATACGTGGGTGGCCTCCTTTAGCCGAGACACCCTGTATAACGAAATCGAAAGAAATTAAATCTTTTAAAAAGGTATTAATACCCCTCCCGACAATAGCGCGCTAATATCGTGCATGATTTGATTTCAACGCGAACTACCACTTGTCGCAGCCCCACTGTACGCCAACAATGCCACCCACGAAGTCGGTGGCCTCTGCTTGTAAGCAACCCGCCTCTCAATTGTTTCCCGGTGCAATCGATTTCCGAGTAATTAAACCTGACCTGTTTCGGACTCCGAGTGCGTTTCTCTATTGCCCGGAGAAATAGGATCGCGGCGGGTCGTTCGCAAGGTTTTCCGTAGAAACGGAGAGTCCTCCAGGAAGAACAGGATCGACAATGTCGAACGTCCCGGCAGGACTCCCGACTCAAAGTCTCCGGATGTCCGTAAATGTTCCCAAGCACGAATACCTTCGAATAAGAAGTTCAAAGTGCACTTTCCACGAACTTCGAATGCGTCCTCGTCCAAGAGACCAAGGACGTTCCGATTGAAATTCCCGGGAGCATTGAAATTTAAGTTCGAGCGTTTCTCCTGCGCCGCGGAATTCGTAATTGCTTTAATCTTGATTAAAAGATTCGGAAAGAGAGGGAGCGAGAGACAAATAGAGAAAGTGAGAGACAGAGAGAGAGAGAGAGAGAGAGAGAGAGAACTCTCTGGCCGACGCTCTAGTTTTCGGGATTTACCGAGTCGAACTTAATTGCGAGAGGTCCGTGGAAATTTCGTCACGCGGCAACAACGAAAATCGTGACTCGGCTGTAACAAATATGCCGTCATAATTTCCAGAAATATTAGAGTCCGCTCGCTGGCTCCGTTCCGCACCGCTCCGGCCCGGTTCGGAGGAATATTACGATCGGAGAGCCGTTTTGCAGGAGTTCGCGATTGCAGCACTTCCACGGCTAGCAATATATCTTCGATTCTGCTAATACGTCTGACCTAACAAGTTTCTTACTGGAAAAACTGCTTGGCCATTCTTCCACCGGTCCTTCGCGTCGCTCCCCCTCCCTCTCGTGCCAGGGTGGCCGACATCGTCGCGCCTGTCCGCCGCCAACTTTCTTCTCCAGTGGCTTTCAGTTCGTTACCCCGGCTCCGAAGGCGAAAGCTGCAACTTCCCTGTTTCCCGAGCCGTCGAAATCCTCAAGCTTCGAAATTATAACTTTCGAAACTCGCCGGCCGCCGCCGCCGCCGCCGCCGCAGAAATTACAATTTTGTTCGGAGTTTGACAACAGTCGAATAAATAAAACTCCGTAATTTCCTACAGGAGCATCGTTGAACGCGAGTTCTCCTTATATAAGAGCCACGATCGAGATGAACAGTCCCGGAATATCTAAGCCCCGAAAAAGGACCGTTTCTCTCGGCGGAAAGCGAATCTCATGGTCGAAATGAACCACGGATATCCCCGGGAGGACGGGGCAGCGCGAAAAAGGCCGGGGTTACAAAATCGTTAAGCAGTCGGACTTGCCAAGAGAAATGGCAACCACTGATTCGCTAGCACGCGGCCCAGGCTGGAAAGCTTGACGACCGGCCAACAGATTTTAATATTTGCAGCCATATCTCAGCCGGGCCGGAACTTTTGCCGGGAGAAACGGCGAGCTGACTCTCACTTAAAATCACTTTATACGAATCGCGGCCACTTTTTCGCCCGTCGTTTCGTATCCCGAGCCGTCCCCCCGGCCGTGTCCCTCCCCTTCGCCGCGGACCCCCTGTTCGCCGGTTATGCCCCTTTTGCCGACCCGTAACCCCATAACCGATGGGAACTCGCGGGAATCCATTTCGCCCTCTTCCCGCGCCGCGCCGTCTCTCGTCGACGACTTCTGGAAAACGGCCGCATTATTCTTGCCGACCCTCGCACCCCTTCGCGTTATCCGGACGACGTATGGCGTCGGATAACGCTCCTGCGAACGTGAAACGCGCGTCGCGACGCCTCCCCTCGCATCCCGGTCAGATCGACGATCACGCGGCCGAAGTTTCTTCGGAATTGAAACGTCGAGGAGACTACGCAAGATATCGCGATACGACGGTTAAATAATAAAATGGAATCGAGGTAATAACGTCTTTTCATTTGGGACTCCGGTTTGGAGAGAAAAAAGATGGAGGACTCGTTGCGCTCGCGTGCCATGATATTCTACACACATTTGTTCACACAAATAATTGAACGGATTTCTTAATTCGTACATACGTTGCGATAAAAGTGACGGAAAAGTGAATTCAATCCTGTTATTTTTTATGAGCCGGTGCGCGTCCATTATTTTTAGTGCTCGGCACGTTTGGTGTTGATTCGCCAAGTCAATCTTTCACGAACACTGTGCCCCGAATGAAACAAATTGTGTCCCATATTTTTTATTATTTTTTATGGAGAATCACGATTTATGGTACCACCAGTTGCACGACACCGCCGTATATCTTTAAAATCTAGAAAGCGACGAACGAACGACGCGTGTACTTTTCTGCCTGACCGAATTCCGTTCTCAAGAGAAATAATGCGCACGTGATAATTGATAATTATCATCAACCATGCAATAAGGTTCGCGACGAACTTAAAGACGGAGCAACTCCGCCAGCAAAATTATTATCATCGAATCGTAATTATGCGCTTCGAGGCTTGGAACAATAGAGATGAATTTAAACGGGGGAAAGAAATTTCTACGTGGTTCCAGCACCTTGCAATCAATGTTAACAATCTTCGTATACTTTGAAAATTTTCATTGTTCTTTCAGCTATTCTTTCAGACCTTATTGTTCGGCCAACGTTTTTTCTGTTACACAACTTCCTCTGCGTTGCATAATATCGTTCCTATCGCGAATTCTCTTGCACAGCATTATTCGAAGTGGTACGCGCGTGTGTTGCAGTTATCTGATCAATCGTTCCTCTTCTTTTTTCGTATCATCGACAAACGACGCTTTCTGGAGGAAGCCGCATCAATGCGTAAACATTCGGCCGCGCTTTAACGATGCGAGTAACGTAATATAATTCGGGCCAAAGTTATAAGTTCGACATTCGAGCGACTCGATACGACTTTTACCTCGTTAGAGGCGAACCAAAAAAGCAAAGAATTGGTAAAAGCTTCTTACCGCTGGTGCGTATACAGAACCGGTTACTTCAAAATCCAGCGACGACTCTCTGTTATTCGGGACCGTCGAAAAACGTGTCAAATCGACAGAAACGCCTCAGAAGGGTTGTGAAACGGATCGATCGCCGGCACGATCCAGCACGGCCCTGCCGTCGGCGGGTAACGCGAACTCGTTTTCCCACGATCGCGAGCAGATAAAGAGCCGCGGAGATCCGAGGTTCTGGTACGGGCTCGATTAATGAGCTACCGGGGAGCCCGAGGACAGCCATTTTCTGGCCGAGAATTAGACCACTTAGGCTCGGTGCGCGGCGCGCTGGTCGTTTCTCGGAGTTGGCCTAACTTTTAAACGAAGGCACGCCACTGTAATTAAACCGTGATCGATCGATCTCCGCGGCCTCTCCGCGAGGGGTTGGAAAAATTGTTGGCGCCTCCGCCTCCTCTGGATATATCTTGCTCCTCCTTCTTGGAGAGAAAGAGAAAATGAGAAAGAGAGGGAGGGGGAAGGCAAAGAAGAAGTAAGAGGAAGGTGGAATCAAATTTTCACGGAGCTTCTCCTATCTTCGCGGAACATTAATTATTTCCGTGTCGGAGTTACCATTTTTCCCGGGCGAACGGAAGCGAGGAAGACCTCGCGTCTCTCTGCACCTCCCCGCCCCTTCTCCACGCCGCGCCCCGCCGCGCCGTCAAAGCCGCTCCCGTTCCCGTCGGCAGTTCACGGAGAAAAAGCCGATCATATTTTACGATTCTTTCGGGCTGCCTGCGCCCGTCCCTTAATGACCAAATCCGGCGCGATAATCGAAGATTAATCGGCCACCGATACCGCGCGGGAACGCGACCGTCCACCGATCATAATTCAAATCTCTGCGGCCGATAAAAACACCGAAGGAGCCCTCCCGGATTCGATTTCGTCCGCGGGAAGAAGCCGGAACGGCGCGGTGCACTGAAATTAACGGGAATCTGTAGCGTGTTACCTTCGTTTTCGTGTGCCTTGCAATATCCGGCCG